TCTGGTGGTGGTGTTTAAAATTTACAAAACAATTACAGTATGAAGTGGACATGAAGGTGGTTAGGGAAAGTTCCAGAAATACACACAGGTCCACGTAACCCAACATTTAAAAGATGTGGATTAGGTGGACATCTGTATGTTTTGCAACTTTGGTACAGCCGATTTTAAAAATGAGTTCAAGTACTTTAATGGTCAGCTGTATAATACATATGCCATTATTATATCTAGGTTATTATATAGTTAATACTGTTTATTGTCCAAATAGAACATTAGCATCATTATTAAGTGGGGGCTACAGCCTAATAAATATATATAACGAGATAAGATAACCATTTTGGCTGTGCCACTCTAATCAGTTACATTAAGTACTACACTTCACAGTAACATCTGTGTTTCGAAGGTGCTTGAGGCAACTGTTGTTGTAATTTGGCGCTATATAAATAAATCTGAATCGAAATTGAAACAGATCTCACTTTTAGATATTAGTTTTGGTTTTTTTTAAATATTCACAAAACTTCAGACAAATCCACAATTAATACAATAATTCTGAAACTCTCATTATATGATTAGACTGCTTCATGTGTTCACAGAAGAACCTTTAAGCAGCAGGGATGTTTCTTCAGAACTGACTGCCAGAGGACGAGACTTCCACACTAGGCACATGTCACCAGAACCGATACTCATTGGAACCTTTCGATGCCAACATTCTAAATACACAATGGTATTTGTATTTTCTTAGTACCGTAGACACAGTATGGAGACAGTATGGTCAAATAATAAATACTATACTTTGCCTCCCGCACCTGACACACGACACCCTACTGAGTACTGACCTTACAAAATTTATGCTACAACCTACCTTTTTTTTTTGTTAAATCAACCAACAGGAATGCAGCATGAAATTAGGCACTGATCAATGACAATTTCACACACAAAAGAAAAATGTGGCAGTAAAACTTGTGAAAAAGGTAATGAATTCAAGCATAGAAGACAATACTATGCAGTTGGGGCAGCACGAGTACACATTAAAGATGACACAACATAGGAAGAGACCATAGTTGTGTGTCATAGCCTACGATTCAGTCATTTTTTATTGTTATGTCTACACTCATCAAACTTGATGTTATGCCCACACTAGGGTGCAGCAGGACCTTGTTGCACAATGTGGCAAGCAATGATGAACTTATCTGATCCCTAAAAATCTTTTGGTTTTTTTAAGCATTTTTATGAGATTTCTTGGCTTCTCACATAAGGTAGATACTCTCTAGTGGTGTATCTGTCCAGAGTATTTATTGCCACACTTGTGTGAAACCAGCTCATGTAATACTGGATAAATGTACTTGTGCTGGAACTGGAAAAAAACATCAGATCACAAGCTCTCAAATAAGTGGGAAACCACAAAGACAGCATGACCAGTCAGAAGACACATTCAGGCTGAGTATCAATAAAATTTTGCAACCACTGTGAAAGTGGCCAAACAGAGCCATATTTGTTTGGAGTCGTCTCATGTTTGTTCATTAAGTCTATTACAATATTACTGTGGCTGAAATGTCAAATGTGTTTCATTTCCCTCAATATTACATTCAACAGGATTCTGCATACTTCTCTATTCCACACAAACAACAGAGATTTTCTTTAAACTTAACATTTGTGTTTTTATGCCTTGTAGCAAGCACTGTGTACAGTATTTACTGAGGATTGCTGGTATGATGGCAAATGACAATGACCAGTTAAATAATACAATATGGCATAGTTGCACTGTTTTTCTTTTATTTACCTCTTTGAGAAGGGAACTTCAGAGTTCACAGCAATTTTACTCTTGCTCCTCTCAATGGACACCACACCACCACCAAGATTTCCAGCTTTGCCGTTCACCTTGATACGCTCCTGCAGGAACTGCTCCTGCATGTGCAGAGGACACAGCAAGTCACACACAGCAAGCACCAGAAATGAAGGCCTCTTTATGAACTACAGATCAGAGTTTCTTATGAACATATTATTGACATCTCTTTTTTCCCCTCTCTCTTTTCTTTTAATATCAACTGACTGGAACCTTAATACAGGGCTTTGATTGATGCCCCTTATTTGACAGTAGTGTCTGACACAAAGCATTTGTGTCTGACAGCTGCTGCACTGATTACCAGACAGGATGTCATTTCTGTCAGAGGTGATCTACTCACGAAGTTGGCAGCATCCATGATGCCATCCTCAACAGGGTGGGTGCAGTCCAGGGTGAACTTCAGGATCTGCTTCTTCTTCTTCCCACCCGGCTTCTTAACCACCTGCCTCTTCTAACACAAATGGAGAAAGTTGCTTAAACTCGGAAACCCCCCAAAGCGAAGCGTAAGGAAGCAACAATAGTGTTCAGATATCTTTATTAGCGGTTAGTCACAGCGTGTTCAATATGTTCTAGACATTTTATACTAGCATTTCAAGTAAATATCGTAAAAGAATGTTGCAAAAACCACGAACAACTGTTTACGTGCACCCTGTTAACCCTCACGTCGATCGCTGCTAGCTTGCGCTAACAGTTAGCAAAACGTGGTTTGAGACGAAACGTTAAAAAAGGCAAACAAAATCGCGCGTGAACACTCGTTTCTTTTATATTACTGTGCACACGTATATACACGTCTATAAATGGAAAGACAAGCTAAAATAAGTGGCCTGTGTGCACTTTTATTTGGTCGGGCTACTACTCACAATCGGAGCCATGGCTGAAGAATTCAGCGAAAAGGGAAGGAGGACAGGCTGCACGGGAAATATAAGAGCCGGCCGCAAAATCGATCGCATCGACTTTTCTAGACTCGATTATATCGCACTACATAGAAAAAAGAAGGTACGAGAAATTGTTAATGCCACTTAAAGTTGCACCAAATGTTAACTTTGTTCAGACGCCAATCAGTAGTTTGTCAGCTGGAGTGGAACTAGACATAAAGAGAGATTATTGCACTTACAACTATAAAATTCCCGGATCAGCAGAAACGTGGCTAAAATGTTTAAAGTAAAGTATAACTTGTAGATTTAATGGGCGTTTCAAAACCTTGATGTTGGGCCAAGTAAAAAAAATAATAATACTGTATTTCTTTTTTTTTAAATAACTGCCCAGAAAAGTGCATTTGAAGATGGCTTGCGACGTTACCCTCCTAGCACTTAGCTACACAGCTTCCGATGTATGTAGTTTTTGTATTATGTAGTAGGTCTTAAAAGGGAAACACAATTTTTTTTTTTTTTTTTTTTAGAAAAGTTGAATAACATCAAACACATATGTAATAACCTAACTAGCATTATGAATTATAAAAGAAAATAATAAAAGATATTCTACCATTATTATTATTACATTATAAATAGTAATAATATTGTAATAGTGTTATGCAGGTTATCAATATACCTTCAAAGGTGCTAGAAGACATTACAATTATTGTCATTACATATTACAATTTTTATGTGTTTTTGTCATTATACTCTGTCATATGGTTCATAAAATTTATATAAAAGACAGACTGACATGCGTGTGTGTGTGTGTGTGTGTACATACATTACATTTTGAACCAATAAAATAAGTTATTTATAGGATATATTTCACTACAAAAAAATAAATAAATAACAATAATAATATTTTGGCAACAAAAAAGTTTAAAAGACTGTATTCAAGGTACAGTGCAATAAACTAACAGTATTACTAAAAAAACAACAACAAAAAACTCTCAATAGAACTGAGAATTTGTATTTAAGTTTGAAGGCAACCACAAACTTCAAGATTCATTTGATTTGGCTGCC